CCACCGGCACCAGCGGCCGTCTCCAGTCAGCTTCTGCAGCGGACTCCAAATACTGCTGCTGTTCGGTTGTCAGCTCCGGCATTTCTCGCAGCAAGATCAAATCACTGCCGCCGTCGTACTTCGACAGGTTGCGGGCCACTTGACTGATGCCAACGCTCTTCGACATGGAGTTGCCGTCGAAGAGGCGTGGCGCCGCTTGCACGGAGGCTTGCGACAAAGACTCGAAACTGGCAACTACCATTTGCATAAAATGCTTCAAACGTAGTTGGAGTTCCACTTTGTTGTGCTTCAAAAGATCTGCGAGCTGTCCCATAACATCCAAATGACCGCATAGTAACCAGACCAGAACATGCGGATGCAAGGAGCCGCGCCCTTGGGCTTCGATTTCGCCGCGGAAAGCGGCGACCGGGCCCAACATGCCGGCGCCCGTGGATGCAGCGGCCGCCCCATCGCTGCACCACTCTCGCGCAAACGCGCGCACACCGCCGCGACGACAATCCAACGTCTCGGGGCGAAAGTTCAGCACGTGCTGCAGGAACAAACGCATCAGAAACTCGAATTGCAGAGTCTGGGCGACCGGATCTTGGGCAAGGCGCCGCATCATATCCCGGTACTTCGGCAGCGTCTCTGGCATGTCAGCTGCCACTCCGCCCAGATCCACTGTTTCTCCTTGAATGACCAAGAGCAAAGGATGCTGAGTGTCTGCAATATTCGGCGTCAAGAAAACCAACGGAGGACCAAACATCTCCATGTAAGCCCACCCTTCGTGGCGACAATGTCTACGATGTCCATCTGTGCCGACAACATTGGCGGACGCAGCCTGCATCGCCTCGAAGCAAGCTTTGACCTTCCGAGGCACAGCATCATTCTTCAGCACTTGCTGCAGAGAGTCACCCCACGTTGGTTCAACCACTCTGGCAGCAAGTGCTAAATCTGATGCTCGCAACTCTTGCAGGTTCTTCGCGAAAGCCATACCACCATTTTTCAAAAAGTTGTACGACGCATTGCGTTGATCGGTCAGACGACAAATGGTTGACATCATGTGCAAAGCCACCCAATCTCCTGTAAATCGATTCTTGACAGGGGCCGTGTATGGAGTCTCATCACTGTCCAGAGAATACACCATCTCCTGATTTGCTGAAACTAAAATGCAAACGGAAACAGAAAATTGACTTTATCATCACCCGCAAACCCCAAACAATCACAAACAAACAATTCAACCGCCCACGTCCTCACGCCGTAGCATGCACGCCGTCCATTCTGCAGTCGACAGAGGTTCTTCGCGGTCAAACAGATTCGAAGCGTCACCATACCGCCAGAGCCGAGGTTTGGCCATGCTCCAAATCTTCCAATCGAAGAGACTAAGTGGCTTCTTGTCACGAGCAACCATGAGGTGTTGCGCTTCGTATGTCTGTGACTGCTCTTCTGGTGCATTTTCTTCAGGTAATAGCCAAGGGGATTTGCCCATCACAGCATCACGAAGCTCCACCTCCAATTTGCGACGCATGTCTTGAGTGGACAACTTGCGGCAGGTCTCTTGAATCTCATCACAAAGTTTCTGAATTCTTCTGCGGCCTAAATGATCCAGCAACACCGCATCATCTTCCATCAACGACGCCATCTCAACGGCAACAGAACGGGCACCAGCCGCTTCCAACTCTTCCAGTTTCTGCAGCATGATTGCGACACGACTGGACACATCCGTCTCGTCGTCATTGAAGTCCTTCACTTCCGGCTCCGTCGCAAAGACAACTTCATCTTGACTGCACGAGACGTGACCGTCAGTGGCCTGGGCGGGGCCTTCTTGCCGCATGGTGCCCGGCCCATCGCGACCAACTGGCACGGTCAAAACACAATCCAGAACAACCGGCGGAACAACATCATCTTCGCCACCAAGCCATGCAGTCAAGCGTTCGCTGTCGATCTGCGTCACTCCTCCAGCATACACCACATTTGTGTCCTGTAGAACTTGAGCTTGCTGGAGAAAACGATCTTTCCGCAAACGGAGCTGCACGATCTTCCGGATTGCTTCACGGCCATGATCAACATCATCTTCGACAGGCAGATCGGTGCAGAACGTAATGGCCAATGCGTCGTTGAGCTTCTCAGGAGGCAGAGACTGAAGAGCGTGCTTGGCGTCGCCATTGTGGAAGAGCACCGAGGAACCCACGTAACCAGTCTGCTGGTAAACGTGGTCCCATTGCCGCTCGGTGGTCGCCTGCGCCGTTTGCGCACCACCAGCTCGAAGCACCACTTTTGTGGCAACGGTGCGGGCAAGAGCTAAACACATCTCGTGGGTCATGTTGGCATCCCACAGCAATGGATCGATGCGTCCCAGCCAGAGATCGTTCGCGAGAGCAAACTTGCAGAGGCGCGGCTTCTTCGGAGCGAATGCTTGATGGCAATCGCTGCACACATGGACGGGTTCCTGGCCGCGTGCCGCAGCTGCGGACACTTGCCGTTTGTGTAGCAGAACCAACTGCGAGGAACCGTCAGGGCAGCAAACTTGGACGCCGGACGCTTGCAGCTCTGTCAGAGGGATCTTCGGCCAGCGTTGGTGGTATCGATCCACAGACAACAGCGTCCAAACGGCAGGTGAGTTCTGCATGAAGCATTGCTCACCTGCGAGCTGCACGGGCCACATCTCCTCCGACCAAAACCATCGGGCGCAAAATGCGCACCCGCGCCCGCCGCGGAGGTCGGTCAGATGTGGCCCTTCCCAATCCATGCTGGCATGCCGAAGAAAAGTGCTGTAGTTGCTGACATAGTACCGCACTTCACTGCCAACTACGACATGCGGGCACAACGATTGCAAGCATAGCATAGCATTCCGATATTTCTGCAAACCACCATGCTCTTTGACAATGTGCTCCAGTAGACTCGCGCGATCATCAAAGCCAGCATCGCACAAATGACAGGGTTGACGAGGCATGACCAGTGCCTCCATCGGCCAGAACCGCAACGCTTCAGTCTCCCGCGTGCGGTGCAGGGCATGATTCTCTTTGAATCTGAGGAACGGATTGTCCTCGTCAGCCCACTTGTCATCTCGCGAACCAGTCATATTGGAAGATCCATTGCCACCAAAAGCTTTGGACTGCCTTGCACGGCTCTCTCGGGCACGACCTGCGCGGTCGTCCTTCTCCTTGGCGCCTGCGCGAGCAACACAGATTTCAGTCATACTGATGTGACTCAGAAAGAAACTGTTGCGCGGATCTGCAACACTAATTTCACATCTTGTGATCAAAATCTTGTGACGAGGTTTGTACCATCTCTTCCCACTTATCGTCGCGACCACAGTCTTCCCACATTGAGTCAACCATGAGTCGGACAGTCTTATAAGGAAACAATCGTCATGACTAGTTCCGCATAAGTAACTCAAATAAACGGAAGGAAACAGTTCCAACACGTCTGTTCAGCCTGCGCGCTGTTGCTGCCGGCCTGCACATGCGAATCAATCGCAAGACTCTTGCTATGGGAACCCGAACCACGATAGAGCCACAAGTTTTTCCCATCAAAATTATCAGCTGATCATGTCAATGAAACCTATCTTTATCACAATCGAAATCAATCTTACTCATTTTACCCAGAATTGAAACGTAATCATGTCAATGACACTCATCATCACTCTTTCCGCATTGTGGTTAGGTAGACTTTCATGACATGAGTACCATGAAATTCACGGAAGAAAAGTTCCAACACTTCTGTTCAGCCTGCGCGCTGTTCCTTCCGGCCTGCACATGCGAATCAATCGCAAGATTCTTGCTATGGGAACCTGTACTACGATAGAACCACAAGCTATTCCCTTCAAAATTCTCAGATGATCATGTGAATGAAACCTATCTTTATCACAATCGAAATCAATCTTGCTCATTTTACCCAGAATTGAAACGTAATCATGTCAATGACACTCATCATCACTCTTTCCGCATTCTGGTTAGGGAGACTTTCATGACATGAGTACCATGAAATTCACGGAAGAAAAGTCCCAACACTTCTGTTGAGCCTGCGCGCTGTTGCTTCCGGCCTGCGCGCTGTTGCTTCCGGCCTGCACATGCAAATCAATCGCAAGACACTTGCTATGGGAACCTGAACTACAATAGAACCACAAGCTATTCCCATCAAAATTATCAGCTGATCATGTCAATGAAACCTATCTTTATCACAATCGAAATCAATCTTACTCATTTTACTCCGAATTGAAACATAATCATGTCAATTACACTCATCATCACTCTTTCCGCATTCTGATATATATAAACTTTCATGACATGAGTACCATGAAATTCACGGAGGAAAAGTCCCAACACTTCTGTTGAGCCTGCGCGCTGTTCCTTCCGGCCTGCACATGCGAATCAATCGCAAGACACTTGCTATGGGAACCTGTACTACGATAGAACCACAAACTATTCCCTTCAAAATTCTCGGATGATCATGTCAATGAAACCTATCTTTATCACAATCGAAATCAATCTTACTCATTTTACCCAGAATTGAAACGTAATCATGTCAATGACACTCATCATCACTCTTTCCGCATAAGTAACTCAAACAAACGGAAGGAAAAAGTCCCAACACTTCTGTGGAGCCTGCGCGCTGTTGCTTCCGGCCTGCGCATGCGAATCAATCGCAAGACACTTGCTTTGGGAACCTGAACTACAATAGAACCACAAGCTATTCCCATCAAAATTATCAGCTGATCATGTCAATGAAACCTATCTTTATCACAATCGAAATCAATCTTGCTCATTTTACCCAGAATTGAAACGTAATCATGTCAATGACACTCATCATCACTCTTTCCGCATTCTGGTTAGGGAGACTTTCATGACATGAGCACCATGAAATTCACGGAAGAAAAGTTCCAACACTTCTGTTGAGCTTGCGCGCTGTTGCTTCCGGCCTGCGCGCTGTTGCTTCCGGCCTGCACATGCAAATCAATCGCAAGACACTTGCAATGCGAACCTGAACTACGATAGAGCCACAAGCTATTCCCATCAAAATTATCTGATGATCAGATCAATGAAACCCATCGTTGGCAAATTTGCGGTCTGAGTCGATTGGATGCAATTAGCAATAGAACGCTCCCACCCGAGCTGACCTGCACGAGCGCGACTGGCTTCTCGACGCTTGCGCTGCAGCGCCGCCGCAAAGCGCCCAAGGTGCGAGCCAACAGCCATGGCAGCAGCAGTCCCAGGCGGCGCTCCCGCCGCACGCACCCCAGGAGCATCAGGCCCAGGCGCTACAGTTTCCTGCAACAACCGAGGCAAGCGACAGAGGCAGTCGCTGCCCGCAGGCGGCGCCTGGCGCGCAGGCCGCGCCAGCTGCTGCCGGCGTAATCTCTCCAAAACAATCAGACAAGGCCAAACAGGTCCCAGAACAGAGACGACACTGACCGTTGCATCATTGCATAGTAGCCATTGGTTGTGGGCGCGCACATACGCCACAAAATGATCTCCAGAGACATGCGCCACAAAGCCGGAAACGGTGTAGAGGTAGTTGTTGCCCTGAGGAAAGCGCAACGCAACAACTTAACATGCAGCGATCATGAGACAGACACAAACAAACTTAAAATAAACCACACCGTTTCGTGGCAGGCGCCTCACCAGCGGGCGGTGTCACCAACAACTGCGACCAATTCATCCGGCCGCCATCGACGGGCGGCACTTCCAAAATGACAACATCACTGCTCGGCCGGCATGTTGTAAAATGCTCACGCGTCAACTCCGTGAGAGTGACGCCGCGCCGAGCGAGTGCAATGGATGTAGGCAGTAAATGTACAATATCACTGCCGTAGACACACCGGTCTAACAGCAAGCGACAGGCTTCTGCTGCATCTGCGCTCTCACCAGGTCGAAATCTTCCTTGGTAGGTTGCATACAGTTGATTGAGCAAAGCAAATGGTGCAACGTAGTCCCAGTCGTCGCTTGCAAGCTTCTGCAAAACATCTTGCACCAACGATCCCAGAATCGATTCTTCGCAATCCATCAACCGAGCAGTGAAAGCATTGTGCAGCGAGCGAGTCCACCTAAAACATTGCAACACGGCATTGAGCCAGCAGCTGTTCCCTAAATTCTTCAAGCCAGCATGCGCCGTGCCGCGCTCCAAGCCACTTGTCCATGCGGGCCGAGAGCCATAATCGAGTCTAGTGTGAAAGCCCAATTCCACCATCCACGCACCTTCGCTGCGGGGTGCTAATGCTTCCACATCCTGAAAAGCAGAGACCAAAAGCTGCACACTCTTCGAGGCCAGCTCAGGGTCGAAATCATCCGCGACATTTTTCGCACGCAGCCTGGCAAGCTTCTGCTGCCGCTGCAGTCCCAATGCATCACGCATCTCAGTCAAAATGACTTCGTCAAACCGAGCTTCGCGGCTACTCCTTGCGACTACATCAGCAGCCTCCTGCTGCAGCCGCTGAGCAACAGACTGTAGCTCTTGGGCAGAAATCTGCAGCGCAGCCTGAAGTTGACTGGCATCGACGTCTGCAGCAGCCTTGGATGACCTGGTAGGGCCGTTTGCTGCTTGGGCACCCTTCACACGAGCGCGCCAACCGACACCATGTTTGGCAACACTCGCCACACCACGAACATCTGCGGCCTCCTTCTGCAAACGCTCGGCCACTTTCTGCACCTCTGTGGTCGACGTTTGCTGCGCTTGCTGAAGCAAGCGCGCATCCTCTTCGGCAGCTGCTTTGGCCTGCCGTGTCGGACCATTGACAGTTGCTCGGCCGACTTTCACACGAGCACGCCAATTGGAACCATGTTGGGTCACGGACGGTCCAGCGGTCGCGTCCGGGGCAGAAAGCGAGCCCAATAGTCTATCAAAAACTTCTTGCAAGCGTTCACTGGAGACGGCTGCTGCTTCCTCCATTTGCCGCGCATCTTCGTTTGCGGCCACTTCAGTCGCGCGCAGCGGTCCGTTGAACGTCTTGCCATCCTTCTTACGGCGGGCGCGCCAACCATTAGCAAGTTTTTGCACCGCCATAGCTGCACGAAACAAATCTAAGTTGACTGTGACTAGTTGGACTTGTAGTATTTGTGGTGGTAGCACTATCCTCTGCAATGTCTGCTTCGGCGGCCTCTTTCCACGTTGGGCTAAGGTCACCAAAGCAGAATGAATTACACTGCACCGATCGTTTCTTTCCACGTTGGGCTAAAACGACCAGAGCAGCAAGAGATAATCCTATGACCGCATCTTTACCTTGACTGACTAGTTGTAGTTGTGTTGTAGTGGTATGCGTGCTAGAGCTGTTGTCTGCAACTTCTAGTTGGGCCAAAGCGACCAAAACAGAACGACAAGAACGACATGATGCAAGTTTGCATGCAAGAAACAGCATCTGTCATGTCTGCGTTGCACAGCGTTGCTGCAGCGCAGTTGAGCCCTGCCTCTCGACCACGAGCAAGACCAGCACCTGGCCGGAAGTGTGTGTGTGTGTGGAATGCAGCAGGCCGACAGAAGGACAGTAAAAACAGGCAAAAATCAAAACATGGCCGAAGGCACGCGGAACGAAGGACAACATGCCGGAAGGACCGCAATCTCTCTGACCACGAGCAGACCAGCACTGGCCGGAAGTGTGTGTGTGTGTGGAGTGGAAATGCCAGCAGGCCGACAGAAGAAGTAATTAAAAAATGCCAAATAAAAAAATGCCCGAAGCACGCGGGGAACAAAAGAAAACTGCCGAAGGACCGCATCTTGATGCAAAGGACCAAACTTAAACCATGCCAAATCAAAACATGCCGAAGAACGCGAAAAGAAGAAACATGCCGGAAGGACCGCATCTCTCGACCACGAGCAAGACCAGCACCTGGCCGGAAGTGTGTGTGTGTGTGTGTGGAATGCAGCAGGCCGACAGAAGAAAGTAATTAAACATGCCAAAATCAAACATGCCGAAGCACGCGGAACAAAGAAACATGCCGGAAGGACCGCATCTTTGCATGCAAATGACCAAACTTAAACATGCCAAAATCAAACATGCCGAAGAACGGGGAAAGAAGAAACATGCCGGAAGGACCGCATCTCTCGACCACGAGCAAGACCAGCACCTGGCCGGAAGTGTGTGTGTGTGTGGAATGCAGCAGGCCGACAGAAGAAAGTAATTAAACATGCCAAAATCAAACATGCCGAAGCACGCGGAACAAAGAAACATGCCGGAAGGACCGCATCTTTGCATGCAACTGACCAAACTTAAACATGCCAAAATCAAACATGCCGAAGAACGCGGAAAGAAGAAACATGCCGGAAGGACCGCATCTTTGCATGCAAATGACCAAACTTAAACATGCCAAAATCAAACATGCCGAAGCACGTAGAAAGAAGAAACATGCCGGAAGGACCGCATCTTTGCATGCAACTGACCAAACTTAAACATGCCAAAATCAAACATGCCGAAGAACGCGGAAAGAAGAAACATGCCGGAAGGACTGCATCTTTGCATGCAAATGACCAAACTTAAACATGCCAAAATCAAACATGCCGAAGCACGTAGAAAGAAGAAACATGCCGGAAGGACCGCATCTTTGCATGCAAATGACCAAACTTAAACATGCCAAAATCAAACATGCCGAAGCACGTAGAAGGCCGACAGAAGAAAATACTTAAACATGCCAAAATCAAACATGCCGAAGCACGATTGGAGCCGTTGTCTGCAACTTCTGTTGGGCCAAAGCGACCAAAACAGAACGACAAGAACAACATGATGAAAGTCCGCATGCAAGAAACAGAATCTGTCATGTCTGCGCTGCACAGCGTTGCTGAAGCGCAGTTGAGCCCTGCCTCTCGACCACGAGCAAGGACCGCATCTTTGCATGCAAATGACTAATTTCACTTGCCCAGTGCCATCAGTGCCACGCATGCCACGCAAAACGACGGTGGATGTGAGTTTGTGCCGCGCCTGCCACGCAAACCGACAGTAGATGTGAGTTTGTGCCACGCCTGCCACGCAAAGTGCCGCGGCGTCACGGGCGCCCAAGCCAGTCCAAGCGCGCCACCCAGTGCCATCTGTCCCACGCCTGCCACGCAAAACGACGGTGGATGTGAGTTTGTGCCACGCCTGCCACGCAAACTGACAGTAGATGTGAGTTTGTGCCACGCCTGCCACGCAAAGTGCCGCGGCGTCACAGGCGCCCAAGCCAGTCCAAGCGCGCCACCCAGTGCCATGAGTGCCACGCCTGCCACACAAAACGACGGTAGATGTGAGTTTGTGCCACGCCTGCCACGCAAACCGACAGTAGATGCGAGTTTGTGCCACGCCTGCCACGCAAAGTGCCGCGGCGTCACAGGCGCCCAAGCCAGTCCAAGCGCGCCACCCAGTGCCATGAGTGCCACGCCTGCCACGTGAAACGAAGGTAGATGTGAGTTTGTGCCACGCCTGCCACGTGAAACGAAGGTGGATGTCAGGTTGTGCCACGCCTGCCACGCAAAGTGCCGCGGCGTCACATGCGCCCAGTGCCACGCCTGCCACGCAAAGTGGCGCGGCGTCACAGGCGCCCAAGCCCGGCCCAAGGGCGCCACCCAGTGCCATCTGTGCCATGCCTGCCACGCAAAACGACGGTAGATGTGAGTTTGTGCCACGCCTGCCACGTGAAACGACGGTGGATGTCAGGTTGTGCCACGCCTGCCACGCAAAGTGGCGCGGCGTCACAAGCGCCCAATCCCGGCCCAAGGGCGCCACCCAGTGCCATCTGTGCCATGCCTGCCACGCAAAACGCTGGTAGATTTGTGACTTTGTGCCACGCCTGCCACGTGAAACGATGGTGGGTGTCAGGTTGTGCCACGCCTGCCACGCAAAGTGCCGCGGCGTCACAGGCGCCCAAGCCCGGCCCAAGGGCGCCACCCAGTACCATCTGTGCCATGCCTGCCACGCAAAACGACGGTAGATGTGACTTCGTGCCACGCCTGCCACGTGAAACGACGGTGGATGTCAGGTAGTGCCACGCCTGCCACGCAAAGTGGCGCGGCGTCACAGGCGCCCAAGCCCGGCCCAAGGGCGCCACCCAGTAGCATCTGTCCCACGCCTGCCACGCAAAACGACGGCAGATGTCAGTTTGTGCCACGCCTGCCACGTGACACGACGGTGGATGTCAAGTTGTGCCACGCCTGCCACGCAAAGTGCCGCGGCGTCACAGGCGCCCAATCCCGGCCCAAGGGCGCCACCCAGTACCATCTGTGCCATGCCTGCCACGCAAAACGACGGTAGATGTGACTTTGTGCCACGCCTGCCACGTGAAACGACGGTGGATGTCAGGTTGTGCCACGCCTGCCACGCAAAGTGGCGCGGCGTCACAGGCGCCCAAGCCCGGCCCAAGGGCGCCA